GGGAGAGTGTTTCTTCTTTTCTGCAGAAGCGAAGACTGACTTCCGTGGGCCCATTGTGGATCACTGTGATGGACTGTGCTGACTGGCCGGGCCTGGGGCACAGGCTCACCCTTGGGAGACACGGGGTGCCCTCACCAGAGAGAGGGGGCTGTGGTTTCTGGAGAGACGGGAACCACCTGGAGCAGCTGACAAGGGGGCTGGGCGCAGACCACAGACAGACCATGTGAGAAGGTGATAAATACCCTGGAAAACTGGGTAAAGGAGTCAGTGTGTCAGAGTGGGGGCAGGGAGGTCGTCCTGAGAAGGTGAGCTTTCAGCAAAGCTTGGAAGGGGAGGGAATGCGGAGCGTCCCGAGAAGAGGGGACAGTAAGTGCCAAGGCTAGGGCACAGCTGGATGGGGCGACATCGGGGGACGGGGTGGGGGTGGGGCTGCCAGGAGGGCCCAGCAGGAGGCCTGGGGAGGGTTTGGCTTCAGTATGGGGGTTTGAACTCAGTCCACGGGCTGCGGCTGGATCATAGCCACTGCCAGGGTTGGTGTGGGGGGCATTGACAGATAACACTCCCCCCCCAGCAGCTCCTGTGACCTGCTGGCCATAGAGGGCTTCTGCACTTGCCCCCTGACCTTCTCAGTGTTGCTCTTGGAGGCTTCTTCCATGGGCTCCTTCCTCCAGAAACCCTACCCTGCCTCCCTCCTGCACAGCGCCCACTCTACCTCCCCGGGGGTAGCTCCGCAGAGGGGGGTCTGCAACTGGGGCCTTGAGCTCGCTGCAGTCAGAGAGGGCTTCCTGGAGGAGGGGGGTTGCAGGGACCGGGATCAAGGACATGAAGCACACAAGCCTCTCCTCAGAGCCCAGTGACCCCTGCAGCCCTCTGTTTGGTTTCTTGCTCCTTAGAGGATGAGCCCCCAGGACAGCGACCGCCCCCGTCTTCCCGCTGCCGTGTCCCCAGCGCCTCACACAGGCCTGACACCCAGCGGGTGCTCGAGGAAGGGAGGGACGAGGGCGGGGGCAGTGTCTTCACGGCCCTGTCCCTCTCCCACCTCCCCTCACCCGCCCACTTCAGATTTGGCACACCAAGCTGGTCTCTGAAGGGCCCCCGGAAACCCACAGTCCAGTCTGGGAGAGTGTGCGTTACAAAGTGAGAAGGCCTGGGGTCAGGGAACCGGTTCTGTTTGTTCTTGTTCTTCAGCACCTATTTGCTGTGTTGGGTGTTGTCTACACCTTATAAATCCTATTTACTGACATGGCACCCATTTTGAAAGGAGGCGAAGGGGCATCTTCAGGGACACATAGCCCCTCTGCCTTGTGCCTACAGCCCATGGCCTCCCTTGTCAGCAGAGTTGCAGGCAGCGCGTGAGCAGGTTGAGGGTGGCGTGATGGGTTGGCGGGGGAGCTTATGGCTCACCTGTGCCCCCTGAGGTGGGCTCTGTGTGTGGCTGGCTTTCCTGGCACCCAGGTGCAGCGTGGAGGTGGGAGAGGCTTGGCCTGTGAGTCTATGGGGTGGCAGCAGATGGAGCTTGTAAACTGGGGCCCACTGGCCTCCTCCAGGATTTTTGTTTTGCTGTGGGGGAATATTTTGTGGTGAAAAATTTTGTAAAACAGAATTTGCCACTTTATAACCATTTTTAAGTATACAGTTCAGTGGCATTAAGCACACTGTTGTGTAACCAGCACACATTATTTCCTAGATAAGTTCTCATTACTGTAAATAGAAACTCTGTAGCAATTAAGCAATAACTCTCTATTCCACCCAAACCCAGCCCCTGGTGACCCTTCAGATATTTTCATTCCCTGTGGATGTGTCGATTCTAGATAGATATTGCATGTGTGTCCTCTTTCAGTATCTGTCCTGCTGTGTCTGGTTCATTTCCCTTAATGCTAACATTTCCAGAGTTTATCCATGTTGTAGCATGTATTAGAATTTCATTACTTTTTATGACGGAATATCTCATCGCATAGATAGGCCATGTTTGGTTTGTCTATCTGCCCAGTGAGGTTCTTCAAAATGTAAACAATGTGAGTCAGTCACCAATATTTAAAAACCTGGATATTTACACATGGGTGCCTATTTCCAGTTTTCTTCTAACACCTTGGAATGCATAGCTACACGAGGTCCGGACTCCTGGCCTCGTGGGTCTCATCTGCCCAGCCATTTCCCTGCTAGACTGGGGTGGCATCTACCTCGGAGGAGGGGCTATGCCACCATTGGAGCCTCTGCCTGTGACTCCTTGGGTGGGCAGGTGAGGTGCACAGCCCTGGGATAAGGGTGTTGGGAGCTCAAGAGTCTAGGCCAGCACCCTGGGTTCCTGAGCTGGATGGTCTGGGAAAACACACACACACACATACACATGCACACATGTGCATCCTCATAGCATGCAAGCCTCCTTTGTGCTCATGCCTGGAGATGCACAAGGGCAAGAGGGTCCTTCCTCCCTGGAGAGAATCTGGTTGGGAAGTAGGCAGTTGGGGTGCCACCTCTTGGGCCCGTGCCCAGTGTGATGTGTCAGGAGGCCGTGGGCCTGATGCCCACGCTGAGCATTGTGACACTGGCTCCCTTTGTGCCTGGTGTGGTACCCACTGACCTCCGAGCAACCCCTCCTTCCAGAGGAGGAAGGCAAGGCCCTCTGAGGTCAAGCAAGTGGCTGGTTATGGAGTGGTGCAGGGTATGAAGTCACGCCTGCCAGGTGGGCTAAGAATGGGCACTGGCCAGAGCTCAGAGGAGCTCAGTCAGCCAGCCAGGATGGACTTGATCTTTGCCCTCCATCTCCTGGGCCCTAGCAGAGACTCCCGAAACCCCATGTGTTGGGGCTTCTCCGGCAGCTAGGCCCAGCCCTGGTGGGGAGGTGGGCAGCTCTCAGGCCTGCACCTGAGCCGGTCAAGGAGGCATGATGTATCCCTCGGAGGGATGGGCAAAGGCTGGGGTCGGGTCTGTGAGTACCTCCTTCCCAGGGACCACGGAGGGAGGAGGCCTGCTCTGAGAAGGCAGTGTTGGGCCAGTCTTTGAAGGTGGACTCACAATTACTGAGCTGGACAAGGCAGGCAGATTAGGAGAGCCCTGGAGCTGTGAGGTTCAGCAGTGGCCAGTAGAGTGGGACCTGGGCTGGGGGAGGCTGCAAAGGTCATGGGACCAGGAACACACCAGCAAGAGTGCAGACTCTCCTTGGGCAGGCTGTGGGCTACAGGAGGGTGGGGACTAGGGGAGTGATCATTGGGCTGGTGCTGGGAAAGGGAAGGGTGGAGACAGGTGCAAGGGTGTGACCAAGGGAAGCTGCTGAAGAGGGAACTCAGCCAAGACTAGATGGAGGGTGGGGGTGGGGGTGGCTTGGCAGTTTGGCAGCCCATTCACTTTCCGAGTGTTTCAGCAGTGAGCATCTTGGTCGTAGTCACCACGTTGTTTCTCAGCTTGGGACCGGGCCAGCACGCAGTAGGTGCTCAGTAAATACTGCTGGCGAGTTTGTTTATTCCACAAATGCCTAGGTCGGTCACTGGAGTCACTGTCAGAAGAAAACCAGACCCATCTGTAATTGAGGAGTGGATGGGCGGTGAGCTTCCAGAGGGTAGCAGGGCGGCTGGCCTGGGATGTCGCTGAGCAAGGCGGGGATCTGTGGGGCGGCTCTGAGTAGGGCCTGGAGCAGGCCTGCAGGAGGATGGAGGGAGCAGAGACTGCCCAGAGGAAGAGGAGGAGAAGGAGGGGCAGCCTGGCCCAGGGGACCTGCAGCAGCCGAGGGGGAGGGGTGCCGCTGCGTGGAGGCTTTCCCATCCCCCTCTGCCCTGGGCTTTGGCTGCTTGATGGGCAGCCTGGCCCCGCCCCTGGGCAACCGGCAGGCCAGCGATTGGTTGGCGCGCTAGAGCCGCTCGGTCGCCATGGGGACGCTCGGGAGGTGCGCGTGCCCAGTGCCCAGCACCAAGGACTAAATCTTCATAATCTGCGGGCTGGGAGGGGTGGGGGTGGGGTCGTGCGCGACCCTGGCGGGGGGGGGGGGGGGGGGGTGGTGTCCTGGGATGGGTCGGGGCTCCCTGCGGCCGCCCCTCCCCCACCCACCCTGGGGGCTGGTGCAGAGCCGCTCGGGCACCTGGGCGCCACCAGGAACCGCGCGGTACTCACCTGAGAGTGACCCCGGGAGCTAGACTGGAGCTTGGGCCTCTGCCTTCTCAGCTGATCAAGCAGGAGGCTGGGGGCAGGGAAAGGAGCCTGGAATTCCTCGGAAGGATCTAGCCCCCGAGTTAAGTTTGTGCTCCTGGATTCCCCGGCAATGCTGTGCTCTCTGCAGCAGGGGGCGCCCTCCACAGGGCTTTGTAGGGGTGTCACCGCAAGAAAGGCGGGATGGCCCACTGAGGTGCCGGCGGACAGAGACCCTGCCGCCCTGGCTCTGGGTGTCCAGTGTCGTGTGGCCATGCGGGCAGGCAGGTCTGTCTACACAGGCTGCCAGGGTTGGGCCCAGGCCTGCTTGCTGGGAGCAGGGGTGTCACAGTGGAGCCATCCTTCAAGTCAGGGGGTGGAGAAATTCCAGGGTCTGCGGTGGGGAGGGGGGTCCTGTGGGGAAGAGGGTGTGAAGGGGTGAGGCAGTGGTGAGCCAAAGGAAGAGGGGGGGGCTGGCCAGGCCCCGTTCAACCTCTGGGGGTGTCGGAGGACCTCTGGGCCAGCACCGGTTGGATTAGACTGGAGGCGGCAGCCGCTCATCCCAGGCCCTTGAAGCTGAATAGTTTGTGGGGGTGGAGGGCAGGAGGCCACCATGCCCTGCACACTCCCTGGCCGCTCTGCTCCTGGTGGCCCCGGTTTCTGGCAGTGGGACCCTACTCCCCACCCCCCTGCCACCTCGGGGCTGGGGTAAGACTTGGAGCCTGCAGCGGGGACAGCAGCGCTCACCTGCGCAGGGATGCTCGTGAGGACTACACGGGGCAAGTGCCACTTCCCTGAGCCGCCCCGGCCACGTCCCTGGGGGTGTCTCGGGGGTCAGTGGGTGCTGGGGTGGGGCCTCACACCCAGGCCTCTCGTTCCAGACGACTCCTCCTCCGAGAGCGGCAGCGGTAATGGCTCCTCCACCCTGAACCCGTCGACCTCCAGCAGCACGCAGGGAGACCCGGCCTTCCCCGAGATGAACGGCAACGGCGCCGTGGCCCCCATGGACTTCACCGCCAGCGCCGAGGATCAGCCCATCAACCTGTGTGACAAGCTCCCTCAGGGCTCAGCCCTGGGCACGCCCTCCTACCCCTCCGATGGCTGCGGCGCCGATGGACTGCGGAGCCGCGTCAAGTACGGGGTGAAGACCACCCCCGAGGTGTGTGGGGCTGCGGGCTCCCCACAGCTGTGAGCTTCGGCCACTCCTGTACACACAGCAGGGTTGTGCGAGGCTGACGTGAAATCGCGTGTTACCCGGGGCTGTGGCCACCACCCGCGGAGGCAGGGTGGTGGCCGTGGCCCCTGTGCTGTCATTTGCCTGGGGAGGCCCTGAAATGGGAGTGAGCCCCTTACTTCTCCACCTGCGTCGCCATCTGTGAAGTGAGGTTGATGACCTGGGCCCTAGTGGAGGTGGGGAGGGACATGTGGGCTGGCCCTCTGCCTCCAGAACAGGGTCCGCTGTGAAGAGCAGTGGCAGGAGGGCTTCGTTCAGCAGAAGCCCCAGACCTCCCATTTTCTGACTGGTCTGCATACTTGTCCCCATTTTACATATGGTGCAGATTGAGGCCTTGGTGGCCTCAGGGACATGGAGGCATAAAATCCAATAGACCAGTCTGAGGGAGGCAGATAGATGCCCCCCATTTGGCCCTCCCCCACCTTCTCCTATTACTTCTGTAGGTCACCTCCAGACCACTAAGATCTGTTGGGGGGGGGCAGGGGTGCCTTCTCAGACCCCTACTCTCCTGGGCTCCAGCCAAGGCCCCTGTTCAGGTTTCTTCTACTCCCGGGGCCTGTTTCGTCTTCTGCAGGGGGTGTAGGGTGGGTACTAGTGCTGGCCTGCAGTGGTATCTCTCGTGGGCGTTTCTATACAGGAGTCTCTATACAGTCGTCGTATGGTCAGTGTACCCGAGCCCAGGCCGCAGAGCCAGGACTGGCAGCGCATCGTCCTCCCCCTCCAGTTTTATTTTTCCAATTTATTTTTTGGCCAAGCCCTGTGGCATGTAGGATCTTAGTTCCCCAACCAGAGATCGAACCTGTGCCCCTTGCATTGGAAGTGTGGAGTCCTAACCACTGGACCACCAGGGAAGTCCCCATCCTCCCCTCTTTGACTGGGCCCCAGTGGCAGGCACAGCCTCTGCACGGCAGGCAGAGAGCTGGCACGAGTAAGGTGGCCGCCGTGGCCTCAGGCCACTCGTGTGGACCACGGAAGTGAGATGGGATCATGAGTGTCACCTACGGTCTGTCTCCTCTCACCCTGGCTTAGAATCTGTCAAGGAGCGCCTGGGAATGTGACTGACCCATGGCACCTTTGACCCTCCTGTGAGAGTCTGACATAGCCTGGCAGGCGGCCAGAGGACCTGGGTGTCCCTGGCCCTTCAGATACTAGGTATGGTGGACGCTAGGTGTGATCCAGAGATGGACACAAGGCCAGGGACCCTGGGAGGGCCGACCCTGCTGGGTGTGGTCACATGGAGGCTGATGGTGGCAGCCACTGCCGGACAGAGCAGCAGCCAGTGTCTGTCTTTATCCATTTGTTCATCAGCAAGAGCTGGGTACCATCTGGGCCACTGTATAGCCATGTGGCAGGGTCTGATCTGTTTCCTGGGGCTGGCCACCTACTAGAAACTATCCTCCGTGAGGGCAGAGACCGTGTTTCCAGGACACTGCCGGTCAGGACTCGCCAAAGCCACAAACTTTCTAAAGGCAAACAACAGCAGTCTTTGGCCTTACCAGGGCATGTCTGGCAGGGGGCAGGAGACAGGAGGGGAACTGAGCTGTGAAGGATGAAAAAGAAGGGAAAAGCAGGGAGGAGAGTGGGAAGCTTCTAGCTTCTCTCTCCCGGGAGAGCTAGGGAAGGGCTCCTTATTCTGGAGGGCAGGGGAGGGGTCCTGCCTCTGCTCCTGCTGGACAGGGTGGCTGCCCCATGGGCTGGGCCTGGTTCCCTCTCCTCTTTCTACACATGGGCTTTGCATCAGGCTCCCAGTGACTTCCGGGGGTGGCAGCAGACGGGAGAAGCCCAGCCCGGGAACTGCGGGGATGCTCTGCCTGATGGCCGTCTCCTTGGCTGGTTCTCTCCCGGCCCATCTGTTCCCCATCCCCGACAGACAGCACATTCGCTGCTTTTGTGACAGCTCAGTTGTCAGCTCGGGGTTGCAGCCCCCTGGGGACGAGGGAGGAAAACCCTGAAGCCAGAATGGATCTTGGCACAAGCAGGAGAGGCTGACTGGTGGCGGGAACCCTTTCTGTGTCTGCCTTTCACTTGCACGAGGAGGCAGGTCGTGGTGTGGGCGCTGCAACTCCCTCCAGTGAGCTGCTCCAGGGCATCAGTTGTGGGGTACGGTTGTGGGGGTCCTTCCTACAGCCGCCTAGAGAGGGGTAGCCGCATTGCTGTCCCCACTTCAGAGGTAAAGGGAGCAGGAAGGAAAGTGACTTGTTCAGGACCTCAGAGCGTGGCTCACGAGGCAGCTGGATGTGCCCGAACCCCCCAGTCCCCACGTTCACCATGACCTGACCCTCTGCCCCTGCCCTCTTCAGTCCCCCCCTTACAGCTCGGGGAGCTACGACTCCATCAAAACTGAGGTCAGTGGCTGCCCCGAGGACCTGACAGTGGGCCGGGCCCCCACGGCAGATGATGACGACGATGACCACGACGACCATGAGGACAACGACAAGATGAACGACTCGGAGGGCATGGACCCTGAGCGCCTTAAGGCCTTCAACGTGAGTGCTTGCCTGGGACAGCCGGGGCGGGGGTGCAGCGGGCCAGCCCTTCCCACCGCCCATGTCCTCCGCAGATGTTCGTGCGTCTCTTCGTGGATGAGAACCTGGACCGCATGGTGCCCATCTCCAAGCAGCCCAAGGAGAAGATCCAGGCCATCATCGAGTCGTGCAGCCGGCAGTTCCCCGAGTTCCAGGAACGGGCCCGCAAGCGCATCCGCACGTACCTCAAGTCCTGCCGGCGCATGAAGAAGAATGGCATGGAGATGGTGAGCCCCCAGCATTCCCCATCCCCAGCCCTGTCCCACAGCCCCTGCCAGTACCTCTGGAAGCAGACACTGTGGTTCCCGGTTCAAGAGGAGCTCAAACTCCAGCCCTGCCCCACCCACCTCTTTGCCAGGGGACTCTGCACCCCAACACTGGCTCCATCCCCGTTTCTGTCTGCAGACCAGACCCACACCTCCCCACCTGACCTCGGCCATGGCAGAAAACATCCTGGCAGCTGCCTGCGAGAGTGAGACAAGAAAAGCAGCCAAAAGAATGCGTCTGGAGATCTACCAGTCCTCTCAGGTGCCTGCTTGCTGTCAGCTGCTGGGGGGCGTCCTCGGCCACCCCACAGGTCCCAGGGCCCTGGGTGCAGAGGGAGCAGGGAGGGTGTCCTCAGACGGGGGAGGTGCTGGGGCATAGGGGAGGCAGAGAAGCCCAGACACAAAGGCCTTGCAGACTTCAGAAAGGCCTCTGGACTTTGTCTGGAGCCCCAAGAGGGTCTTCAGTCAGGCAGGAACAGATTAAATCTGCCTGGAACTTAGACGAGAGATGGGGGTCTGGGGGACGCCCTGGGCAAGGCAGCCAGGGAGAGAGGCAGAGCTCTGCAGGTCCCCGCAGAGTCCCAGACAATCTGGGGCCACTGTCTACCCCCCTGTCCAGGAAACTTGGTCAGGGCTGGCTGCCTCTGAGGTTCCCCAGCGCCTCCCTCCCCCCCGCAGGACGAGCCCATAGCCCTGGACAAGCAGCACTCCCGGGACTCCACAGCCATCACCCATTCCACCTACTCACTGCCAGCCTCCTACTCCCAGGACCCCGTGTACGTCAACGGTGGCCTCAACTACAGTTACCGTGGTTACGGGGCCTTGGGCAGCAACCTGCAGCCTCCTGCCTCCCTCCAAACAGGAAATCACAGTAATGGTGAGTGTGGGACACCAGGCTCTGCACCCCCTGACCAGCAGCCTGGTGGCGGGGGGAGGGTGGGGACAGAGGCTGCCGGGAAAGTTTTTCCTCTGTGTTACAGGGACCCTCCCCATCTCGTCATCTTAGCCAGTCCTCAGATCGGAAGGCAAGGTTAAAATAAACCACTGCCTATACCACTCCTTTCTCGCCTCCCAGGAGGCTTGCTGGGCCTCCCCCGGGTTCCCTGCCCCTCCACCTGCCACTGTGAGCAGAGTCCCAGCGCCTCACCTGGCGCTCGTCTTACTGAAAATGACCAGGTCTCGTGCCCAGGTCTCCCAGCGTTGATGGCAGAGCCAGGATGCAGCCCCAGGCAGGTCACCTCCCCTGCCAGGCCACAGGTCCCGACCTCACATGTGAGATGAATTTTCAAGGGAGCACTGTGGGGCCCCGTCTAGGTCACCTGGGGGCAGCAAGTGGTTCGCCATCTCTCCCCTCTCCACCCCCAGGTGCTCTCTGTAACTCTTCCCAGGTGACTGATGCAGACGGGACACAGATCAGTGTTGGAGAGGAACAGCCCCCCAAAGATACAAACCTCCCCATGGAGCCAGGTGCTGCCCTGAGTGAGGCCTCGGGCCCTTTCATACGGAGGCCTGGGGGGTGGGAGTGACTGGGAAGAGCAGTGCCCCCATGGAGAGCAGCCTGGGAGCTGGCAAGGGTGGCTGGGGGCGATCCTGGGGCTTCTTGGGTCAGGCATTTGGGTTTTGTTCTCTGTGTGGTGGGAGCCACAGATAGGCTTTAAGCAAAGGAGGCTGTGAGTTGTGCTGTCCGCCCTTGTGGTGAGATTTTAACCTGGAGGCTAGGAGGTCGAAGCAGCGTGCTTTGGGGGCATTCAGAGGTGAGGAAGAGCTGATGGTGACAGCAAGCTGCTGCTTGAGGAGCAGGTTAGAGGAAGGTGCCGCCTGCAGGCCAGGGAACTCTGGTTCTAGGTCTTGGCCGAATGTGCCTGAGATTTCCTCTCAAGCCCTTGTCCTTGGCCACAGGAGGAAGACCCCTCGCGGGTCCCTTCCCATGGTAGAGAGCTCAAGCACCCGGCACTCCCCTTGCTCCCCACCAGGGGGAAATATGTGAGGGTCCCTGAAGGATTCGTGCCTGGGCTTAACTTCTCATCCTTCCTAATGCCTCTTAACCTAAAGTAAGAGGCTGCCTGGCCCTAATCCCTGAGGCTGAGGCCAGAGTGGCCGGCTGCAGGCAGGGTGGGGAAGGCTGTCCCAGGCGGGCTGCTTTCCTTCCAGGAAGAAGCACCGTCTGACCACCCTGCTGCGTGGGGACCCGGTTAGAGTGGGTCTGGAGAAGGAGCTGCAGCCAGGGAACTTAGAGTCCCCTGTCGTGCCCGGGGAGAGCCCTTCCCAGGTGGTGGGCAATGGTGGTAAGCCCCCAGCTGGTGCCACACAGCAGGGCCCGTCTCAGGCCACAGCTGCCAGGGCTCTCCACCTCTCTAGAGAGCCTGCTTGTTCACACTTGGCAGAGAGGCTTCAAGACAGGCCACTAGCTCAGTCTCCCCTAGTTCCTTAGACGTGGGCAGTGAAGTCACAGAGGCCAAGTTCTGCTCGCTGACCTCCTGCCTGGGGCAGCCACATCCTGTTTAGGTCCAGTACTTGGAAGAACACTGCACGCAGCCCTAATTCCACTGCCCTCACAGCCACAGCCCTTAGCATGAGGGGGTCAGTCAGTTTGGCGTCTTGGTTGGGTAGTCCTGTCAGTGGGTTAGAGCCCCTCACTTAGCTCATGAGTGGATCAGGGAACCCACATCAGCCCAGATAGACTGAGGCTCACCTGTCTTCCCTGGGGTGCTGGGCAGCTTGCCCTCTAGCAACACCCTGAGTAACCAGGGCCCTCGGGGAAAGACGGAAGGACCGCTCAGGAGTAAAGATGAGGCTTGGGGGTGGAGGGAGGAAAGAGAAGCCTGGGGCCAGCTCACACTGCTGTGGCAGGCGGTCCGGCCTTCCACTGCCATCCCCAGGCAGTGTCCTGAGGGCACCTAACTGCCACAGCCAGGACCCAGTGCACAGTCCCTGCCTGCTTCCAGCCTGTCCCGGCAGCCACCACTGTAGGCGCCAGCCACCTGCTTGGCTGCTCTTCCCAGCAGTTCACACCTCCAGTCCTTCCTCCTGTGTTTTAATAGACTTCCCTTGACCCTCAAGTCCAAGGATGGTCCTTAGCAAGCCAGTTCCTAGGACCTCCTACTTGGCATCCCTATTCTCTGGTGAGAGAGGAAATAGCCCCATGTGACAAACCATCCCATCCTAGACTCCAACTTCCTTCCCCATTTGGGGGCTGAAGCAGGTTCCTACTACCGATAGTCGATAGTCGTTTCCAAAATTGCTCCCAAGATGTTACTTCCGTCTGTATCTCCAGTGCTAAGTTTATCCGTCTCTATGGCAACATAAACTGCCACTGTAGGGAGCTCCCTGGTGGTCTAGTGGTGAGGATTCCAGGGTCTCCTTGCCATGGCCCGGATTCAATCCCTGGTCATGAACTGAGATCTCACAAGACTTGTGGCGCAGCAAAAAAACAAAAAACCGCCACTGTAGATGCCACGATGAGTAAAACCAGCTATCAGAGCCCGTGGGGTAGTGAGGAGCTGGCTCATCGGGGTGAACAGCCTCAAACACCCAGGCGAGCCTCAGCGCAGGGCAGGGCAGGCGGGGCAGAGGGACCTGGTTGGGTGAGAGGCTTCCCAGGGAAGCTCCAGCTCCTACACTGAGCTCCGGACCCTCTCCCTTGACTTTCTTCTCGCTGAACGCCTGGAAGGAATGCTCTTCAAATTTCAGGCGTTTTTGTGTTTCCTGGAAGCCCTTTCCCAGTGGCCCTCCCATAGGCTGAGCAGCCCCGGCCTCGCTGAGGGGTTCATCAGCGTGGCTCAGCCCCACAACAGCCTCTTGGTGCTGTAGCTGAGGGCCGGGGGCCCAGGGCAGTTAGGAGTTGCCTGTGGAGTGGCCGAGCAGGCTGCCCGTCCGGGTTTCTGACTCCAAACCCACAGCCCACCCCGTAGAGCTGTTTGGAAAAGACAGAGGAACCTCGCCCCCCTACCCCCTACCCCCCACCCCACCCCACCACCCCCTCCCCGGGCCCAACACACACCTCCCCTGTATGTTTCAGTTAGATTGCAGGCTCCCTCTTGGCTGCCACTGTTCACAAGCAAAGGGAAGGTGATTTCTCTGGAGGGTACCTCTGGGTCCCATCTTACCTTTCGACCCTCACACACCCACCCTTTCGAAGCACTAGGGTCACAACCATGGAGACAGATGAGGGCCTCAGGTCCCCCGGAGAGGGGAAAGATGCCCCCCCTCACCCTGGCTCCCGTGTCCACAGGGCCCACGGACCTCAGCATGAAAGGCGGGGCCTCCACCACCTCCACCACGCCCACGCCCACCCCCTCCAGCAACAGCACCAGCCGGACCATGCCCACCGCCCAGCTCAGCCCCACCGAGATCAGCGCCGTGCGGCAGCTCATCGCCGGCTACCGAGAGTCCGCCGCCTTCCTGCTACGCTCGGCAGATGAACTGGAAAACCTCATTTTGCAGCAGAACTGACCCTGCGGCTCGTGGAGTGCACTACCCTAGGGAAGGAGGCTCTCCCAGCCCTGGACCGGCGTCCCGCCTCACCAGTTTGGTACCTTTTGTTTTTTGAAAGAGGTGGATCCAAAAGAGCTGTTTCTAAGCCACACTCCAAGCGCCTGAGACTCTGGGCACAAGGACACTTTTTTTTTTTTTTTTTGAATCTCACCACACGGGTGCTCTGACCTGCTTGGAAGAGGCCAACGGGGCAGCTTCGTAAGGGCTGGGCTCCCCCTCCCTGATGAGGCGCTGGGGCCACAGCTCTATGTAGAATCATCTTCGTGGGCCCTGATGTTAGACTCCCCCACCCCCAGATAATTACCTTTCAAGTCTTAGGTGAGCAGAATTGCATATTTATTGAGAAAAACAAAGTGGACCCTTTCTTCCTCTCCCCTTAGTAATTTATTTTTCTGAAAATGGATTCTTTTGTGTTTGTACAGATTGCCAGTCTGTGTGTGTCTGATCAGAAGGCTGTGTCCCTGTGACCTAACGTTCCATATCACTACACTGGCGCGGGCTGGGGGCCGGCAGGGCGGGGCGGTGGGGGCGCCGGGCCAGTCGGCCCTGAGTGCCCGGGACCACCAAGCAGGAGGGCCTCACCCACACCCACTGCAGAGCAAAGACAGAAAAAAATGGCTCCCCACCCCCCACCCCACAGACGCCCCAGGCACACGGTCACCCGTATTCTACCTCACACTCCAGCGTGGGCTTTTCCAGGGTGTGCCCCGAGCCCGTTCTGAACGGCCATCTCCCACCTCCCCGCCAAGGGTGTCTGCCCGGGAGCTAAGTCCAGAGGGGGAGGCCAGGAGCTGGAGCCCTGGGAGGACCTTGGCCCTCTCGAGTGGCCGCTGGCGGTCCCCTGGCCTCGGCGCTTGACGGGACAGAGAGCCGGGAGATGGCAGCTGGTCAGCAGGGCCCTTGCCCTCAGCCTGCTCCAGGGGCCAGGTCTGCACACTTCTCTGCACGGGCTCTGGCCCCTCGGACACCTGCAGCTTTGAAGGGCCCCCTGTTTCTTCAGGGACCCTGGCTGTCAGAAAAGGCAGCTGTGAGCTACCAGGCGGACTGTAGCTCCCTCCCCCCTGCCCCCGTGGCTGGAGTAAAGGGACCATCAGAGAAATGGAGAAGCCCCTGGGGTTCTCCAAGGACCAGCCCTTCTGAAGGGGCCAGTCCTAGAAGAAACCCGTAATCCCTGGAGTGTGAGAAAGGGCAAACAAAAGGCTGGCCTGGTTTCCTTCCTCCCCAGTAGGCACTTCCTCTTGCTCAGTGCAATACCTACCAGTGCTGCTAAAACCAGGGATTTGCCCAGACCTCACAAGCACCATGCAACACTCCGTAGCCATGGCAGCAGCTCGCTGCTGCCCGCCCCTGCCCAGATGGCAGAAGCCCTCCGTTGCCTTTCCTCCCTCAGAGCAGAGGTCCCAGGGGAGCCTGGGCCAGGGGGACCCTAGGCTCGAGAGCCACTCGACCCCGAAGCAGGCACCCCCTCCCAAACCAGCTTCTCTGCAGCCAGCTGCCCACCGGCACTGTGGCAGACCGCCCTCAGCAGGGGCAGGGAGGGCTCCGGCGAGGACACCTCCCCCTCCTCAGATCCAGGACTTCAGCTGTGGGCCCCGGATTCGAGAAAGTCGGAAGGGCAGGGGGTCCTGCCCCCTGCTTGCTTCCAGCCTCTGGAGGTTGAGGGTGGCCTTTTCTCTCTTAAGTGGCCTCCAGCACCCCACCAGGCCACACCACCTCTGCCTTCCATCCGACCAGGCCCCAGGCTCCAGTCAGACCCACCCTCAGCACAGCACAAGCTCCAGCGCCCGAGGCCACCCCCACACCCCAGCGTCCACACGTCCAGCCCCCACCTGCTCAGTACTACTCCCGGACGTTTGAATTTATGTAAATATTTATTTTTGTGTGTGAACAATACTACAAATCAGTAGATCTTTTGCAAAATGTTACCCCAGGCAATTTGTGAAAATCTTAATGTTGAAAACTGGCAGAGACAATCGCCGCCTTACTTAGAACTCTTTATATCAACTGCTTAACATGTCATTTCTCCTCCTGAAGGCAGTACCCGGGCCAGGCATGAATAGTTCGCTTCTCGTAAGAGACAGGAGTGAGAAAGATTGGGGAAGGGGTTCCCGCCACCCCCGACACAAGGGATTCAATGTGAAGATCGGTATAGGCTACAGCGTGAAGTTGTGGTTTTGAGCCAAGCTTGTCCTAACTGACCACCTTCAGCAGCCTGAGCACTGCCGTAAACAGTGTAGGTTCAGTGTGTGTCAGAGAGGAAGTGAGTGCTAGTGGTCAGGGCCCACTGGGGCTCCCAGAGCCCCTCCAGGACAGTGGGTCCCGTCACGCTGACCCCACCTCTGGGTGGGCTCCTTCCTGGTGAAGCTCCACGTGAAGCTCTCGTGATGGCAGGAGCAGGAGCAAGTTACTGTGTGGAAACAGGATTCCATTAGCTAGTCCAGTCAGGGAACTTGTTCAGTTTCGCTTTTGTTTTAAAAGACACAGTGTCAACCCCGTCCCTCTCCTCCTGACTTGGGAGAGCACCAAAGAGCTGGCTCTGCTGAACCTCGCTCACTGCTGTTCCCCCACCCCGGGGACTGCCTTCTCCCCGAGGGAGCGCCCACAGCCAGTTCTTACGGAGGGCCTCAGGACACAGATTGACGATTTGGGATCCTAAGTTTAAAAGGAAACGCTAGAGTAGTACACCAATTCCAGAGTCTTCGCAGGGGACTAATCCCACGAGGTTGGAATCAGAGGAGAAGTGGGGATTTGGTCTTAGTGGTGGATCATCTTAGTAGACCAGTAAGAGTATAACCCATCTACAGTTCATTTCGTCGTCACCACTCAGTTTATACCCGAGGACAGTGTTGAGGGGGAGGGGGACCGGCAGGGGGTTAGAAAGGTTTTAGAGGATTTCAAAGAGGAGGAACCCAGCCATCCCAATCCCCAAGGGCCACTTTCCACTCCAGGGGTGGTTATAGGATTAACTACCAGTTCATTTTCAAAATGCTGCTTTGAACTCAGAGGGTTGATACTTTTAATTTGTAATTTTTTGTAAAACTTTTTACAAGATAGTAAAGTATTTCACCAGAATACCAGTTTCAATCCGTCCATGGTCTGATTTTTATATAATTTAGTGGTGCTTTAGAAACTTTGTTTTTGTTGTTTATGAGCTAAACTGCTCAGTCCTTTTTCGCCTGTATCTACCTAAGACCAATGTGAACCTTTGTATTTTTGCTCCTAATTTTGGACTCAGTGAAAGTGTACTGTTTACATGTACAGATGCCCCGGTCCCTGTGTGTCCTGCAAGACTCGCTCCTGAGGAGGAAGGTGCACCTCACTAAGCTCATCTGCTTAGCAAAGCCACAAAACAAAAACCTCTCACGTTTTACCTACGTTTCCACCTAAAAACAAAAACAAAAACCCTATACCACACAGAACTCGGATTTGCTGAAAAATACTTATCTAAGCTCAGAAAAATCTCTGTGCGGCAGATGGCCATGTGCCTGTGTCATGTGGTCCATTTAAGAGCAGGGCTCAGAAGGGAGACTTCTTGGCGGCGGCGGGTGGGTAACTGCGTGGACTTGTGAAACGGGACAGCAGAACTTGGCTGCCAAGCTGGGATGGAAAGAGCTCTTTTCCTGGCAGCCTGGGAATGGGAAGGTCATGCTGACTCATGGGACCTTTAGGATTAAGCCACCCAAGATTCAGGGACAACCCAAGAGGGTTGCCAATCCCCTTAGACACATTTGGGAAGAGGCCAAGTTCTCTACCTGAGATGAGTTTTAAGACTTTCCAATGCAGGTGGTAGAAGCATTTCTTCAGGGTCCCCTAGAGGCAGCTGGTTTAAGAGGCATGACCTCTGGGGAGGGGCAGGGGGCTCCAGACAGTAAGCATATGGCACTTAAGGCAAACAGCAGATGGCACCAACTTTTAAAGGTGACTCTATTACTTCGTCAATGGCTTCACCTCTAAATTATATTTTTACAGATATGCACCTATGCAACTTAACGTGGCTCTTCTAAGCAGGTGAGGACTTCCTCCTCAATGCTCTATAAAAATGATTTGTGTTCTCTATAGTGAGTTTTTCCAGTAAATGTGGCTTAATATTTTAATTCTTAGAATGTGTCTTCTCTATGTGATGCAACTCAATTCTGTTTTGTTTGTGGAATGACTAGCACAGGCCAACTCCCTCTCCCCTCACTTAACAAAAGACCAATGAGCTGTTAATCGAGCTGTTATCTCCATGGTATTACTTGCTAAATGCACTGATTTCATAAGTATGTGGAATCCTTTTTCTTTTGAATCTGTATATCATATATAAGACTGAATCTACTTAATAAACACTGAATAACAAACTGAATGCTTTATTTCCACGGTGTCCTGTCCACAACAGCATGGCCAGCCAGTTCTGTTCCCTCCAACTTGTTTGGCCCCGAAACAACCCTTCTACCAGTAGCCAATAAACTAGCAAACAGAAGATCCTTGCTAGATTTTGAACAAATGAACTGGTTACTTTTTTTGGCGCCTCACCCATCAGAAAGAGAAAGAAATGGACCTTTCCTGGTCTTCGTCATGTGCCCAGCACAGGCACACATTGAACTGAAATCTCATGTCTCGTGGCCGCCTGCCCAGGGAGGTGCTCTAGCCCCACTTGCAGGTGAGGAAAAGGGCACGCCAAGTGCATGCCTCACCTGAATGTGGCCAGTGCTCAAGCAAGGTCTTAGATGCAGCCGTTTCCCTGCAAACCATCCTTTCCCCACAAGGGCGCAGCTCTCCAATGGGCAGAAACCAGACTCAGGCAGCAGTCTCTAAGCGCAGGCTGGGGAAACCGAGGAAACACTGTCCCAGGTCCTGAACCATCAGGACTTGACACTCCATTTGACCAAAACCTGGGATCCCATCTTAAAGGAAGCGAAAGAGCTGCTTTTTCTTTCAAAGATGACATGTGTGCAGCCTTTTTTTTTTTCATCCTACATATAACTGAGGTTAAACTTTAAGAAAAACTTGCAGCAACTGACTGGGGCCAAACCCAATTGTCACAAATTTAAAAACAATTCTGTGTGAGTTAAAAGCATAAATACAACTGTTACTATTGCATGTATGCACACACACTATATGGCAGTTCTGAAAACATTTTTTTGTAATGGCAAAAGAATTTTTTTTTAAGTGAAACTCTGTGCAGTAGCCAAATATATCAAATAGATAAAAGGAGAGGAGTCCACCACACTTTTAGTCTAGACCCTGGGACCACAAATCCCACACCACTTCCTGGGACAACACAGAGGGCCACATGCACACAGTCTGCGCTGGCCCAGTGAGAAGCACTTACCTCCAGGTGAAGTCACAGTGGTGCAGGCCCTGGGATCCGAGGAGACGCTTGTGGACAGAGAAGGGCTGGTTCCAGTCTGGCTTCTTGAAATGGGGCTCCAGAGCACTGGTATGGTGTGGATAGCATAACATCAAACAGGCACCCCTGTCGTCAACAGTGAGCTCAAGGCCACTCAGTGACAGCAGGTGAAGCTCAGCATACTCAACCAGGGGGGCGGGAGACTGTGCCTGTAATGCAGTTTTAAAGTAATTTAAATGCATTGAGGAAGCTCAGTAGTTACAGGAAACTGAAGGAGAATCCCTTGCAAAGTCATCTCTCCCCTCTTCTGTATAAACCCAGCTTTTACTAGGTTTAGGATCAGTCAGCAGGGTTCTTCATTCTTCAGTGAGGGGCTCCAGCTGCCAGGGCAGGGTAGCGGGTGCTCGTAACCCATCTGAAATAATACAGACCACTTTGTGCGTTGTGTGGGTGTGCACGCGTGCACTCCTGGGGGAAGAAGGTACAGAGCTCCCACTGGGCTCTCAAAGGAGCCTGTGTTCCCAAGAAAGTTAAGAAGCACTGCACTTTCAGCTGTCTGTCACTTCCTTACACCATCTACACCTTCTGGTTCTCAAGAGATGTTCATTCCATGCTTTCAAAATGATGCGCAAAGACAGGAGGACGCACAGGTCACTGGCACTGTTTGGTTTCAAATATTAACCTCCAGGGTCACAGAGCCTATCCACTCCATCAACTTAAATGACACCCACCCATACATACACCCACCCATACATACAGCCCAGGCCGCCTCCTCTCAGGGCCCAGGGCAGGCACATGCTTTGGTCCCCGAGGCCCAAAGGACTGAGTGTACACACACACACACATAAGAACACATGTACATGCAAGCACCCCTCTCAAGCAGGGTCTGACTTTTACACGAGAAGACTGAACATGAAACCAACAGATGACCCTGTGCCAGGCCAGTAAGACAGCACTCCTTCCAAATTCTGAAAGTCTTGTCTCCTCATCCTTTAGACCATGAGTTAAGTCAGCCTCTCCTCCCAAGGACCCATCTCCAAACCCAGGACTACGCACTCAACCGTAGAGATGCCTGCTCTGCCTGCACCAGCACTGAGCACACCACACGGCTCCCCTCTCCACAGCTGCTCTCTGGGGGGTAAGGGTCAAACAAGTGCCAGGAGCTGTACTGTGCTCTCCTGTACGTTCACAGAGCTAGGGTCTTGGCCTTGGGCAAGTGGACAGGCTGGAGCACCCCCTAGGCACCACACACTACAGTTTTATGAAGCAGCAACTAGTAACCCAAATCAGAGAGGAGAGTTACCAGAAGCTGAGTGACTTGCCCCTACCACGGTACTGGCAGGCAGCCAGGCCCTCTCGAAACCATTCCACCCTCCTGATGAGATGCAAGGCTTTGCGTTCTAAGCGGCTGCAGAAGTGAGCCAATTCCAAGACGTGAAGGCACAAGCACGTCACCACCACCAGACTGTCACCTGTCACCACAAAGCCCTCGACCTTGATTTCTCCACCCATACCTTGATCAGACAGCAGCACCACAGGATTACAGCTTGTTACTGCCCCACACACAAGACCTACTTTCTCCCAATTCACAGGAAATGAATGGATACTTAATCAACCTTTAGTGTCAAAGGTCTTTATCCACTCAGGCTCATCAACCAGCACCAGACCCGGTATCTCAGGCCAGCCCCACCCTCCCTGCTGCTTGCCACCCTCCCCACAGATATCCAGGAATCTCTCAGGCAACCTCAGGCTCAGCGAGGCAGTTAGGGTGAACAGTTGTAGAGGGATGTCACAGTTCACGACTGGATTCTCAAGAGAAAAGGAACCTCACTGCTCACATGGGATTTCTGCTTTCCAGTCCACGTGGTGAATAATGGGTATTTCACCACCTCATGCACAGGGCGTGAAGACCCACGACACTGACAAGTCATGCCTTCGGAGCCCACCTCACAAAAGAACTCTGCACACAGTAACATCAGCTCCAACGCCGAGGTGAGGCGAGCCAGTTTCTTCCCTTTCAACCTGACCTTCCTCCCAGCCCAGCGAGTCGGCCGCAGAAGACGACAGAGACCACAAGTGCACGTTGTACAGGTTTATTTTTCCAAGACCACAGAGACATACAAGAGCAGTGCTTTCCCTGGCGGACCAGTTTCTAACTGTCCCCTCGAGTGGCCCCAAAGGTCACAGCAGAAGGAAGAGGATCAAACACGCTTGGACCTCTGCTCCCTGTCTTTGGTAAACAAGACTTGAAGTTGACAACCGGGACTTGGCCAATACTGCACTTAAATCACCACTATGTCTTTGCCAACTTCCCACTCATGCTGCAGATGACACAAATGCCACACTGGAGGAGAAGTAGGGGAAAGACAAGACCTTTCAGATGAAATGAGGCTTGCTGAAGTCATACCAATTTCACAGCTCACACAGACGCACTCGTACAGGGAGACCTAAGTTCAACAAGGAGGATGCTCAACTCACAACTCAAGGTACAAGATAAGGCAGGAAGCAGGGAGGTGAGACAGCTCTGGAGACATCTACTTGCTGGAAAGATGTTGGGAGAGAGGCCGGAGGCTGGCACAGCTGTTTCTTCCTTAACCTGCTGTCACAAGTGTGTCCACTGGAGCCCTGTGGCCCCAGGAGAGTGTGGTCCCGGGTTACCGCTGACAGGTGGTAAGCCTGGAGCTGGGAACGGAAGGCCCACCTGGGGGCTGCCCAGGGCGCTCACCCTAGTGAAGCATTTAACACTGTTGGTGGTGATTTGTCACACACGGCAGCAAGCTGCCAGTGAAGGCTGGAGAAGAGATGAGGAGCAAGACGCATCTGCCCAGCAACAAGTGGCCAGGCTGCCGGTGGCTCTGCACCTGCAGCAGGTCCACCGGTGACCGGATACCGGGACAACTGGCAGGTCGTAAGTCAATCGCTCCAACCCTCATGTCGGGCAGCACAGCACGCAGTGGCTCTGACACGGGTGGAGAGAAGTCAATTACACCACTTTAATGCAACGATGCTGAAGACGTGAAATAAGGGAGAGTCGTTCGTGTTCTCTGTACAATACATCCATTTACAGAATTGGCCAGTACTGTGTACAACATATAAATATATGGTAAAACATCAGAGGTGCATAGAGCATACTTACAGAAGCCAAAAGTTCACTTTATACATCCAAGGATAAAGAGTTAAAAATATAAAAATAAGAAAAACACACTGCTTTGAAATGTAAAATGACTTTCACATACACAGGTGTGTTGGAGATGCCCACTTCCACAGAGTCCAAAGTGATGCCCAAGGTGTTGAGCAGATGGAAGTCACCTGCCAAACGTCTGGACACCTAACTTACAAGGAGGAAAGACAATCCTAGCCCTGACCTGTTGTCCAAGCAGGTCTGTTCGAGGTTCCGAAAGCTCCTGCAGGCCAGTGGGTTATTCAGAGACAGGTAAGTCCCAAATTGGCCTAGGCAACAGCAACAGAACCGAAGATCAAACTGGCTCCATCAACTGGCAAATGACTGATTGTGACCCTGAGGTCAGCAGGTGCTTAAGCCCCCTGGTGGGCACTGCTGGGAGCTGCTTTAACCCTGTGCTGGCTTCTTCCCCATTAACTCCCCAGAGGAGCAGCCGGAGGAAAGACGGAGGGGGCAGTGGAAGACTGACATTTCTACTCAGTTCGGGTAGGTTAGTGCCCTGGGTGGAGAACACAACCTTCTCGCTTCAGTTTCGAGGCCCTCTGAGTCTCAGGGAGGCTCCCCCACATCGCACCAGGCTCTGTCTCTGTGACGAGAGCTCGGGCTAGCCGGCTGGCTTTGGGCAGTGCAGTGAGCTGCCCTGCAGGAAACCCTTCCAGCAAGACCCGAAGGACCAACAAGTGGCCAAGAGGTTTTAGCACTATAGATTTCAGGGAGCGGCAAGACAACTCTTGCCTAGAGAGACAGAGTCTGTTTTATCAATGATATTCTGTATACAGATTTAAGATCCATCATTATCAAAATACACACACTAAATATACAACTTTTCCCATGGCCATAATTTATTATCTCACCACAAGGCACAATACACAGAGCTTTGAGGGTCCAATACAGTCATCGTGACAGAAGGCGCCGCAGCCCTGGCACATGATCATGGCCTTCAGGCTGCAGGCGCACTGCAGCGAGATGCTCTCCACCGCGCCGCTGTCGGCGAACATCTGCAAGGACAGCGATGCGCTGCGGCTCGCCCCAAAGTTCGCTTTGTGGCTCAGCTGCACCACACTTCCGGCCAGGCCTTTGGGAAAGGGGGGGGAGCCGGAGGAATAATTAAAGCTGGTGGAACTTAGCTGGAGTTTGGAAAGCTTCCCATAAAACGCCTGCTTGATGTTGAGTTGGGAGGGGATGGAAGAAGGCTCCAGAGGCTGACTGAGCCCTTTCCCAGGCTCCCGGGGCAATTTCCAGAAGGGCAAATCAAGGACAAAGGGCATCCCTTGCAAGTGATCCACCAGCTCCCGGGGACCAGGCCCCGCTGCCTTTCTGTTCTCTGCATCCGCCTTGAGAGGTCCTCCACCAAGAGTCTTCTCGCTCTTGATGCTGCCAACAGAAGCAGGCGGTGGCTTTGGGGCACAGTCTTCCCTGGCAGTCTGCATCCCACCAGACAGAGAGGTTTTGCCTGGCCCTGACTTCCTATTGGGAAAAGCGGGAGGGGCCTCCGCAGGCAGTGGTGTCGGCTCCACCAGCCGGGGGCACTGAAGGGCTGCAGCCATGTTCTTGGAGCCAAAGAGCTTCTTCCCTTGACCTCCCGCACTGTTCTGATCCCCCAGGGCCCGACCTGCCTGATCAGGACCCGAGGAGACCGCATTTGGAGATGAGAAAAGAGGGGCTCTCGAGGTAGTGAGATTTCCCGGACTCACACTTGGGGCAGCACTTGAAATACTGCACTGGGTCAGGTCACGGTCTTCCTTCTGATCTTCAAAACTGAAGGGAGGTAACTGCTCTTTGAAATCCACTTCTGCTTTCCCAGAGGCAGCCACTGGATTGGTCACTGGATATAGGAAGTCTAAACTCAGAGCGTTCTTGGACATCTTGAGGGGCGCCCCAGGAGCCTGGCTGGGCTCCAGCCGGGCAAAGCCGGTACTTGCTTCACAGCTCTCAGGTAGCAGAGACTCTGGACTGCTCTTGCCAACTTCGCACCTGTTCTCCCCAGGATCCTGCAATGACCCCAACCCCAGGGAGCCACCAGGGCTCTGCTCTGCTGTAAGCGGGAGTCGTGGGGGTTCGGGTTTGCTGCTGCCGTGGGCTGGAGGGAGAACCTTCTTGAGGGGCAAGTGGCCCTGCAGCAACTGCATCACCAGGGGGTTAGCAGCCTCCACTGAGGACACAGGCCTGGCCAGGGACACAGGCCTCGGCTGGTACTCGGGACTGGCCAGCAGCAGGGAGTCCGGGATCTTTGGGGGAACTGCACATACTCGAGACACCCAGCTCTGAGGAGCAACCATCCCATCTGTCCTGGTGACCAGATTCAGGTCACCATTCACCTTGGAGAGCGAGGCACAGCGGTTCCAATTGTGTTTCTCACCCTGCTCTACTGCTGAGGACCTCTTCGGCCCCAAGGTTTCACTAGGCTCAGGCTCACTGCTGTCCTCGGAGAAGTGGCCTTCAAAGTCAGAGGCAGTGTCTGTGGACTCGCCGTGAGGACTCAGAGCTTCCGAGTCTCCACTGATTCTGGGCTTTTCACCTTCCAGCTGTCTGCAGTCGCTGCCGCTGCTGTCAACACAGCCGGAGTGCACTGTCCAGAGTGAAGCCAAGTGGCCGGGGGGATCCAGACCCTCCTCCACCGTCAGGCCCACAGGTGATGCCGGGATGAGGGTGGCCACTTTCCCCCACTCCTCTCTGACCTGGGACTTAACGGATGGGACCTCTTCTCTGGAGTCGGGTTCAGGCTGTCCCCCTGCCTCGTCATTTGCTCCTTGGAGGCCAGGCCTCCAAGGAGCAGCACCAGGGGAGACAGGAGCCTCCATTTTCAAGTTTTCCTGTCTAGAAGCACTTTCCCTTGTGGGTGGGCCCGAGTCACCAAGTTCCGATTCATCATCAAATGGTCTGTCCTGCAGGCAACTGGCCAAGGATGATTCGGGGATGGAACTGGGGATCATGTTAACAGGATCCTTCATGGTGGGATTACTGCCACTGTCTGGAGCCTGGCCAGTTCCTTCTTCTACTCCAACAGGCCCCGCCAGAGCCCGACCAGGACTGTCCTCTGAGGGGATCGCAAGTGCTGGCTCCTCATCACCCCTTTCCCAGGCAGTGGTAGCAGACTCACATTCAGTTCTACCTTCTGGATGCAACACAAGCTGCTCAACTAACCTCTCAGGTTCCGGGATTCTAGAGGGCAGTGGGGGCAGAGCCTGGCATGGCGGGTCCCGAGCGGGTGCAATGGGGAGTCGGGAGGCATCTTCCAGCCCGCTGCTGGGGCCATCTGGGACCCTCTGCAGTGGACAGCTTGTCTCCTTTCTGAGAGAAGCCAGGTCCTCTCTCCTGGCTCTGGGCGTGGCAGTTTCAGCCTGGGCATGATCCCCATTTACAGGACAAGACGGCAGTAGTTGTGTTCGCTGTAGATCTGACGCACACTCTCCAGGGGCACCCGGGGCTCCCCGGGGCTCAGGGTGGCCACGGGCCGCACCACCATCACCACTGCCGCCGCCTCTGCCGCCTCCCTCGTCGGTGGCCCCGCCGCCACCTCCACCCGGGCCACCCCCACCTCCGATGGCAGTGGTGGCCGCCTCTCGATGGCAGTGGTGGCCTCTCGCCCCTCGGACCTGCAGAGCACGGGCTTTAATGTCTGCAAGGGTCCTGGCACCAGTCCAGCCCCGGCAGGAGGACTCCGTGATGGGGACGATGCGGGGACATATCTGGTAAGCGGGCTGACCTTTAACCACCCAGGGTGGTTTGATACGTGAAAGTTGAATCTGCAAGAGAAGAACAGAACAGTTTTAATTGACTGAGTGCTCTGACCTAGAAACTGTAAACCTAAACTGGGACCCTAGCAACTTAAAAGTCATGGCCTAGAGAATCAAATCATTTCATAGCTGTCCAAGACACCACACCATTCTGAAAAGACCCTGCTCAAGGGCTGTTAAGTTCCACACTCTTAAATTTAATTTCTGGTGGGATGGTGCAAGTCACTACACAAAGAATCTACCACCACTTAGTAAAAGATTTAAAAACCCCTCAGGGTTCTGACCTGTAAAAATAATGGTGAACAACCAAATGAGGAAGAGAAGAACCTTAGCCCTGGGCTATTCAAGTCTGTCTCAAGAACAGCTCTCTATAGAGAGCTCTACACTCTCACATAATTAGCACAAGGGCCCAGGGCCTTCTGTCCCTATAAAGGAGCCCCACAAATCTCCTGTCCCTCAAGGGCCGGGGCTCAGGGCAGCCAGGATCACACAGCCACCTACCCGGATGGGCGGGACTTTGGGCTCCTCTTTGGTGGGCTGTGGCTTTTCGGGGTGAACACTTTCAATTGTGTTACGAAAGGACTGACGATCTTCAAGCCGGGGCTTCTTTTCGGGAAAGGAGGCAGAGGTTGCCTGCTCAAAGGATTTCCTCTTCTGATCCTTGGGTTCCTGATCCACGGTCTCCTGCGGCAAGCTGGGAATTCTGTCTGGAGACACGGAGACACGTGCTGGGTCGTTGGGACTGGGCTGGAGCCGGGAGGCCACAGTTTCCGCTGGGAATTCGGGACTCTCTGGGTTGGCTGCTGCGGAGGACATGCCAGGTGGGTGGGGGCTGTCCACCCCTGCTGCGTCGGTCTTAGCCTCTCCGTCCTTGTGGAGGGGGATGTCTGGTGCCACAGACTGTGTGTCTTTAGCGATCTCTGCTTCTTCTGGCTCCTGTCTTTTGTACAGATTCCTTCGGGCTCTGGTTCGAAGATCTGGCCGAGAGCGTTTCTTGAAATGCCCATCTCGCTGCCGGGTGGCCGGGCCCCGCTGCGGTCGTGCTGACTCTGAGACGTGCAGGTCACTCTTGATTTCAGCCTCCTCCTGGCCCACATTCTGCTGCAAGGATTCTTCTTTGGTTAAACCCAACCTGCAAACCAGAAGACTGTCAGCTACAGGCAAAGAGAGCACATCTACTACGTGTGACATACACTCAGATGCTAGAATTCTCAGAACAAAACCAATCTGCATGGTAACCATACAAAATCCTATGTCAGCTTCCTTGCGAATGGCATCAAGTCAAACGAGAGTCACTGCGACCTCCAGTTCTCAGAAAACATAGCAACACACACAGCTTTGAGAATACCTGCTTCTGCCCACTGCCCCCACGCCCCTCACCATCCCCAGAAGCCACACCACAACTCATAGCACCCAGGGCCTTACTTCTGTCCATAGTAGTCTTCGAAAAACTTTTCTTTCCATTGTTCCACTTTCTTTTCCTTCTCCATTTCTTGTCGTATCCTGACCTGCATCTCATGAGTAAATTCACCTAAAGAGAAACAAAACTTTTTGAGTGGCACATTAAGGAGATTAATGTCTGCCTCAGGAAAAGCCAAATCCTGCTGTTCTACCATGTCAGGAATTTACAAAACAACATGTGGCTTTGGTGAGCTTGGAAATCATTTCCTACCCCTCACTATCTTCACGCCGGCTCCTGGCTCCCTCCCAGGCCTTCTCACGTCCCCCGCTTACTCAGGACAGAACTAACACGTCTATTATAAGGGAAACTGACTCCCCTCTCTAGGGTCATCAGTCCTTGGAAAGCAAACAACACACTGATCAAAAAAGCAAAACAAAACCAATCAACAAGAGAACCGTTCTTACTCCACACACAGGGAGAAGTTAACAGAGCAGGCTGAGACAGGCCTGCTGACACGGTGGGCCCTTGGCTGACATCTGGGAAATGGGATTTTAGGAGGGTTCCCACCCCTAGCTGACAAGAATGGCTCACTGTGCCTAAACAGTTTATGCAAACCAGATGGTTTAATGGTGAGCACCTGCTTTCCTTTGGGGAATCTGGAATTCAGGTACGCACCAGGCAGAGGCTTCCTACATGATCAGCTCCCAATAAAAACATGAGGCACCGAGTTCTGGACGAGCTTCCCGGTGGACCACCCTTCACTTACATGCTCACAACTCCCTGCTGAGGGAGCTGAGCACATCCGGTGGGACTTCGCTGGGAGAGGACCTGGGAAGCGTGTGCCTGGTTTCCCTCATTTCCCTTTGCTGATTTTGGTCTGTATTCTTTGCTGAAGTAAATTACAGCTGTGAGAACAACTATGGGCTGAGTCCTCCAAGCAAATCATCAAGCCGGGAGACAGGTCCTGGGGTCTCAAAGGGATACGGCCTCCCCACAAAACTGAATCATGAGAAGCTAACCATCAGGACTTCCCTGGCAGCCCTGTGGTTAGTAAGTGTTAGTCGTTCAGTTGTGCCCGACTCCTTGCGACCCCATGGACTGCAGCCTACCAGGCTCCTCTGTCCGTGGGATTTTCCAGGCAAGAATGCTGGAGTGGGTTGCCATTTCCTTCTCCAGGGGATCCTTCTGACCCAGGGATTGAACCCAGGTCTCCTGCACTGCAGGCAGATTCTTTACTGACTGAGCTACAAGGGAAGCCCAATATTTCTTTGAGCCACTTTTGGGGGGCGGGGGAGGGCACAAGAATACTGGAGTGGGTTGCCATTCCCTTCACCAGGAGACCTTCCCGACCCAGGGATTGAACCTGGGTCTCCCACATTGTAGGCTGACGCTTTACCATCTGAGCCACCGGGGAAGTCAACCCTGTGGTTAGGACTCTGCATTTCCACTGCAGGGGGAACGGGTTCAGTTCCCAGTCAGGGAACTAAGATCCCACATACTGTGCAGCCAAAAAATATTAGCCAAAGAAGCTAATACTCATTCTAAGCAACAATGTCTAAAAAGACAAGAGGGCCTGGTGGAACTTAAAAAGCAGGTCAATGCCATGGTTACTGGAAAGAATAGGAGTTTACAGTTTTAATGATGAAGAGGCAACACAGATGAATATATATACACACGAAACAGTGAAAGCTAAAACACTCTTGTAGCTTCTTCAAAGCTATGGGGTACTATATCCACCACATCAATTACAGGAAAGCCTGCCTTATACTCAATACTTCTTGGGAGAAAAAAAAAAGATCATTGAAAAATGAGTGTTTGGATTTTAGACCCCAGGAGACAAGTGACACCACTCATGGCAGGCACCTCTCAAGCCACTGCGATGAGAATGTCTACTTACCATCGGCCAGGCGTTCCCTCCAGCTCTGAGCTGCGTGGGTGAAAAACTCATTGTTCAGTGCACTACTGCTGAGACGTAAGAGGCCATCAGTCCCCACCTAGAAGGAATGAGGCCAAAAAAAAGGGCACATGAATGAAAACAAACAATAAAGAATCTTAGAAAGCGAACAGAAGCTGGTGTGGAGAGCACAGAGAGGAAGCCTCCCATTCATACCTGTCTGTCTACTTCTGGCAGGAGGAAGAGGAGCTGCTGCTGGAAGTGGGACGGCAGGGCATGGAAGGTCCGCGAGTTGATCAGGGCCCGGAGGTTGGTGTTGACAAGAATGGACCCAGGCGTCTCAAAATCTATCTCTTCCCCTCTGTTGCGCTTCATTTGACCTGTAATTTTTCAAGCCGTGTAGATTTTCAGCTTCTTAAAAAAAAAAAGCTAATGCCAACTGAGGGAAAACTTCGGTGGCAACACCCAAGCTACCCAGAACTTATCTGCACACATTCTGCTCAATCATCCAGTCTAGTCTAACCTATTGGCTACCATCGAACTTAAGAGAACACATGGGCTGGCATCACCTCAGACAAGACTCTGTAGCACATTGTGTCACAGCCTGAAGGGACACTCTTCCCAGAGAAACTCAGGCCAGGGGCAGACTCTGAGCTTCCCTCCCAAAGCTGGAGAACAGGCTCCACAAAGTCAATGGGAGAAATTACAGAAGTTGTCTAAAAGCAAACCCAGTGAGTGTCCTACAGAAAAATCTGCAGAAGTCTTCTGTGAAGGGGCTGGAGAGGTCTAGCCCTCCATGCAGAAAGGTAGTAAGAGTTGTTGAAAGCCCACTGAAATGTCAACATCTCTCACAAAAGCTTCTGCCAATGGGATACAGACTAGTGAGGCTGAAATGGAGCACTGCTGAGGAGCTGGAGAAGCTGCAGGACAGCAAACCTTGCTGCCACTGGGGCAACGGCTTATTCTCATCCTCAGAAGCCAAGGTTAGTCTTCCTAATGGTTTCATGGGACCCTTCTACAAAAATCCAGCATGTGGGCTTTGAGACATAAAGCCAGAAATAGCAAATGGCATACTAGCCTTGCTAAGAGCACCACTGGGGGTAGGGGGTGCACGCTACTGAATTTATTTGCATGCCCCAAATGGATGGCTCCCACCCCACATACTAACTAGGTTATAAACGAGGGCATCTGATGGAGACTACAGATGTGGAGAACAAACTTGGTAGGATGCTACCCAAGAAAGAAAACAAATGCTGGAATGCTCCACTGAGAAGTTCACTCACTTGAGCACTTTCTGAGCCATATCAAGGCAGGTAGAGGCTAGGCCCTTACAGGGACATACAAGAAGCACTGTGGCATCATCTGTGCCCACAGGGAGTCCTGTCAGTCTAGCAGAGAAAACCCTCTGTGAAATAACCAAACTATAAGCTGAAAGCCAAAGAAAATAAAAAAAATAGAGGGCCACCAAAGAAGTAAAAACAAACCGTAGAAACTACAAAGGAAGTGGAGCAGAAGACATCATCATCTCTAGGCCTGTGGGGGCCCCTTACAGGCAGGGAAATGAGCGCCAAGCCACTCACCTGTGGCTGGCTTCCGGAAGCCTCTCAGGAGCGGGGCAGGGTCCCGGGCGAGCTCGGCCTGGCCACGGATAGCAGCGCTGCCCAGGGCCGGAGAGCCGCCGCTGCTGCTGGACGGGCTGCCGCTCTCGCCATCGGCGTGGCGGCCCGAGAACCCTGAAGGTACAGCATTCCACGGGTCAAGAGCATCACGCGCCGCGCCCACGGCTCTCAGACAAGCTTACTTCTCCCAGCTCTCCCTGAGATGCTGCCAGCAATACCGGTGCTTCCATGGCCCAGCCTGGGGCTGTCAGAGATCACCACCTCCTGGTCTGGCTTTAAAATATCACGTAAGAATGCCAAACCGCTGTCTTTAGTTTGCACAGCACTGCACCTTTTACCAAGCACCTGCACACGCCTTCACCGGACCCTCACGACCGCCCCGTGAGGCCAAGGGGAGGGCGCCCAGCGGAGCCCGCGCCAGAACCTAGGTCGGGTCTCACCACCATGGTGCGCCGCCTGTCAGAGGAGGGCTCCCGACTGTACTGGCTCGGCACTACCTAGGCCAGAAACTGCTGCCAGAGGGAGGCAGGCCCCAGGACCTGAGGAAGGAGCATCACAACCACGAGGTGACACGTACCTGATGCTGATTCCACGTGGGCCCCGTTTACCTTCAGAGGAGTCAGGACAACTCGAGGCAGCATTACCCCTGTCTTTTTCTTCTGCTTGTTTGCCTGTTTCCCCAGAGAGAATACAAAAGGAGCCTGGGTCACCTGCAGGTCACACCAGCTGTCCCTCTCGGACCACTGTCTCCCCCGCTGTCTTGTAAAACAGAATCAGTGTTCAACCAGTAGGGGCAGGTACTGCCAACAGCTGCAATGACTCAGGCTATGGAGCCAGGTGCCAGCCACCATGCCAAGCATCATCCCACATTGAAAACAATGCTCTGTTATCCCCAATTTACAGATAAAGAATCTACCCAAAGCTAGTGAGTGGTGGGCCACAATTCAAACTACTGACTCCCAAGCTCATGTTCTTTCTCCCCCGTTCTACTTCTCCCCAGATGTTCCCAGGTTTTTCATAAACACAAATGAAATCATCCATCCACAGTAAAAAGAAAAAACAAACTGCTCTGTTCTCAGATCAACTGCCCACTTTCCCTAAGGCCCACTGTTAAATGATACTAACAGGTGGAGACCAAAGTGATTTTCTCCACACTTCAACACGCTCACTGAACATAGCAGGAAGAGTTCTATCTTGTGCCTACCTCTTTATCTACCCAGCCCAGTCACCAAGAGCCCCACCTGTGAGGAAGCTCTGTAGCTGTCCTTGGGGTTGGAAAGAGGCCGACTCTGAGATTCCGTAGAACAGGAAGCATTAGAGGACGTTTCATCGAGAGAAACTGGAAGAGAGGGAAGTAGAGGCTAGTCCCCAGCTCGACTGTCTGTGGCTCTTCACCCATCTTGTCAAAGGCACTTACCATCGTTTTCACCACTCACAGTGCTGGTTTCGTTAGACCCACAGCTCTCCACATCAGCTGTGTCCTCTGGCTCCTCTCCCTCCACCACGGCTGGACTGCGAGACCACTGCAAGGCATCCTTCTGTGATAACAAGGCACGACTCAGGTGAGCAATAACCCTACAGATCTTACAAGCAGTCATTCCTAAACGTGTATTGCTTGTGCAGAAGCAGGATTTAGAATACTTATTAAATTCCCATCCCTTTCTAACTGACCTCTTTCTTCGAAAGTTCTTTTCATATATATACATCGAGAAATTTAGATATAACTTTGCATCTAATCATTCATTAAATATTTATGAGGTGCCTCCTATAAACTACACCATGCCAGTTTTGGGGTGGGACTAAGGAGAGGAATCAGAGCCCTGCCCCCAAATGAGTAGAGGAGAAAGTCCAAACTGCAACAATAGAAAGCACAGGGAAAGAAGAGAGCAGGGGCAGCCCAGAACAGGGGGGATCTACTCACTGGGCTGGAGCAGAGGGCTTGGGGTACAGAAAAGGGCTTAGGACCAGGGAGGCGAGCTTTCCCAGGAGATGCGTCCCTTGAGCTGAGTTTTAAACAGCAGGCACATGGAAAACTGGATGTGTGTGCAGGACAAAGACAGCAAGAGGGCTGATGACTGTCATGACACTGTGCTGAGGGATTAAGATGGATTTATTTTATAGTCTCTGAAGGACATTAATCAGGAGAATGATCTGAGTTTTAGGAATTTCATTCCATTAACCATGGGAAGCCTGGAGGCAGGAAGAAGAATTAAGACTATGACAAAAAGCCCTTGAAAAGGATAAAGATCTAAAGTAAGACAGCGGGTAAAACGTTAGAGTGTAGAGGAGAGCGCCACTCCAAATTTCATCTCCTTGTAACAAACATTTCTTCCAACAGTGTCTGTTGTAGAGTCTCAAATCAATATCCATTTCCAAGGAAAACTTAGGAGCTATCTTGAAACCAGGAAGGAGTATGAATGAATACTGGGGGATGGGGAGGAGGGGGAGCAGACAGACTGGGGTGGGGATGCCTTCTTTGAATAAAAGTATGCGAAAAAGAATAGGCAAGGCTTCTTGCGGGGCCCAGGTAGTGTTCATTAGGCGCGTGACCATTGACAGCCATAAGCCGGTCCCGGGGCTGCTTTCCACCACCTGGGTGCCTTGTCCGGAGCTGGGGCCTTAGGCGTGGCCTCCTACGGGACGCACGGAGCCCAGTTTCTGGATGCCCATGGGAAGGAGCTCTTTGACAAGTCCAACAAACACCACTTCTTACACAGCCTGGCCCTGTTAGCGGTATCTCTGTGTAGAAAGCCCCTCTGGGCTGGGTTACTGCTAGCTTCTGGAACTACCTTATTCTGTACCACCTTTTACTACCAGGCTCTGAGTAGAGACCCCAGCTTCCAGAATTTGGCTCCTGTGGGAGGGAGCCTGCTACTCTTCGGCTGGCTTGCCTTGGCTCTTTGAGCTTTTCTTGTGTTTAACTTCTGGGTCCTTTTTTTTTTTTTTTAAGAATTGGGAGCAGGGAAGGAATTAAAAGAGAAAGGCCAAAAAAAAAAAAAAAAAAAAGAATAGGCAAAATCATGATTCTATCACTTAAAAACATGTCATAAATTTACAAGGGAAACCCACAAAATTCTAACTCATTAATTCCATGGGTCCCTTGATCTATTATATAGTAGACCTTACTTATCTGCAGGTTTCTTTAACCTTCCATGATCAACCATGGTTGAGAAACATTAAATGGAAAGTAACAGAAATAAAACAATCCATCAGTTTCAAACCACCCGCTGTTCTGAGTAGTGGGGTGCAATCTCATGCTGTCCAGGTCTGACTCCCACCTGGAAAGTGGACTGTCTCTTTGTCCAGCATATCCCACCCGTTACTCACTGGGTGGTCACTGCAGGTATCAGATCGACAGTCATGGTTATTGCAGCACTTGTGTTCAAGTAACTCTTATCTTACTTACTAATGGCCCCAAAGGCAAACATAGTGGTGGCACTCCTTACTCTGTCTGATTTATACTTTTTATTGTACCTAATATAAAAATTAAACTTTCTCAAAGGCAAGTATGTATAGGTATATACAGAGCTAGGTACTATCCACAGTTTGAGGCATCCACCTGGGGGATCTTGGAACATACTCCCCACCAGACAATGGGGGACTACTGTAGTAAATCTTCATCAATATATTTTCATGAATTTAAGCCAATATCATTTTGACCTAAGTTAATAAAAACAAAATGGCTTTTTATATCTTTATCTCTTTTCCTTACCAACCATAAATGTGCCTCAAGGATCAAAAGCTAAAGAGTACTTTTAGTATTAATCTTGCAATTATGCTTATCGGCTGCCATGTTCTTGGAATAATGCAATAAATTTATTCCCTCAATCATACAGGCAAAGTAACATAAAATACTCAATTTAATGAAGAAAAGAGGTTTATTAAATGTCAGAACTGACCCCAAAACTCCAGTTCTGGCAAAAGTGTAGGGAAATCACACATACTGTTGGTGAGTGAAAATGGTACAAAGGTTCACATGCAGCCAGTGAGTCCAGAAATCTATGAGCAAAAATCTAAAAGTGAGATGCTTTTTAACCCAACGCCTCTAAGATTCACACAGGACATCATTTTAAAAAGGAAAAATCAGTTGAACATTAAAATTAATATTCTCTGTTCAGCAAATAACTCCATTGATAGAGTAAAAAGGGCAGGCTACTCTACAGAGTTGAGGAAGAGAGCTCCAGTGAAGAACCTGTATCTAAACTGCCTAAGTCAATTAAAAAAAAAAAAAAAGCACCCCAGGGACTTCCCTGGCAGTCTGGTGGTTAGCACTCTGCACTTCCACTAAGGCGGCTGAGGCCTGATCCCTGGTTGGGGAACTAAGATCCCACATGCCATGAGGTGCAGTCAAAAAGAAAGAGAAAGAAAGAAGGGAAGAGAAAGAAAGAAAAAGACAATCAGGAACAAAAATAGGCAGACATGAATTAGGCACTATACCAAAGAGGGTATCTAAATGGCCAACGTTCACATGAAAAGATACTGAACCTCACTAAGTAAGAAAGACACACCAAAAAAATGCAAATTAAAACCACAATGAGATGAAATCACATCCACAAGAATGGCTAAAATTAAAGTTTAACGATATCAAGTAGTGCTAATGAGGATGTGAACAAGGACACTGAAAATGGATTCAAGCATTTGAGAATGTAGTTTGGCATTATCTGACACAGTTAAAGATATAAACGCCCTATAACACAGCAATGTCAGTCCTAGGTTTGAATTTCCTGGAGAAAGACATGCATGTCCACATCAGGAGGCATACCCAGATGTTCACGACAGCATCATCTGTAACTTCAGCTATAAACAAAGTGCCCATCAACAGAATCACTACATGGACTGATCGATGACTATACTGACCAATACTCAATAAATGGATATTACACAATAATAAAAAAATCAATGAGCTACAGTTACTTACAACATGGATGAACTGTATTGTGCTTATGTAGAAGAATGTCCTTGAATCAATGTACACACCTTGTGTCCTTTCCCTTTTTTTAAAAAAAACTGAGGGATAATTTACAAAGAGTGAAATGTATACCACCTGATTAGTTCTGACAAATGCATACCAAGATACAGACCATACCCAGACCCCCTACAAGTTCCCTTTGTGCCCCTTACTAGTCAATCCACACAAACATTGCCCTTCCCACCCAAGAGATAATGGTTGTTTCAATTTCTACCACTAAAAACTAGTTTTGCCCGTTTTTGTTGTACGTGCAAAAACGGCATGCGGGATCTTAGTCTCCTGACCAGAGATGGAACCCGTGCCTGCTGCAGTGGAAGCACAGAGTGGTTCACCACTGGACCGCCAAGGAGGCCCCTCAGTCTCATGTCTGTGAGTCATCCATGCTGCTGTATACATCAGCAGTTCATTACAGTTTCAAATTTAAAGAAAAGCTGTAAGAATAAAAATAGTACAAAGAACACCTGCCATATAATTTTTACCCATGTTCACCTATTAACACAAATGTTTTTAAAATACAAATCTATTAGTTTGGAAGGGAACTGGCAAAGAGGCTAGTGATGGGGGTGGGGGGAACAACAGCATTAATAAATAAAGCCAGATAAAATATTTTCCCATAGGTCAAATGTTTAAGAAAGAATCTATACTGTCTCTTGGGGAAGGCTGATTGATCAAAGGGTTGTTTAACATGTATTATTAAAAGCTAAGAACATACCAACTATTCAAGAGTATATTAGAATTCCTAACCAATGCATAGCCAAAAGAAACAAAAAGAAACTAGAAGAAATCAGAATATCATAATTTCTAAATAAGTATAATTAGCTACATTGAAGATCCAAGAGACTCCAAACTAGTATTCAGCAAAGATGTAAGATTTGAAATCACATCAAAAAAAAAAAAAAGCCAGTGATCCTAACATCAGCAATAATACCAACGATTAGAAAATGTAATTTATAACAAAGAACATAAGTTACTCTGAGATAAAGTTCACAAGAGAAACATAACCATTTTATGAAGAAAACAAAACTATCGAGAAAGGTTTAAAACTGAAATAAATGGAAAGCTATATCATGTTCTTGAATGTAAGATGCAACACTGTAAAGAAGTCAATTCTCTTCAAACTGACTAGCAGATTCAATGAAATTCAATAATACTCTCAGCTGAATGTTTTTTTAGTAGTACTTGATTGTACAGGGACAAGCAATGGGCCACAAATAAGCAAAAGATATTTTCAAAAAGAAGTAAAATAAGAGGCGCTGATTTTCAAAAAAAATAAAAACAAAGTTCTAGTAAATTAAAGGAGTGTGCTTCCCTGGTGGTTCAGACAATGAAGAATCTGCCTACCATGTGGGAAACCCAGGTTTGAGCCCTGGGTCTGGAAGATCCCCTGGAGAAGGGAATGGCAACTCCCTCCAGTATTCTTGCCTGGAGAATTCCATGGACGGAGGAGTCTGGCAGGCTACAGTCCATGAGGTTCCAAAGAGTCAAAACACAACTTAATGACTAACTATACACACAAATTAAAGGAGTAGATTAGCAGTGCTAGGGGGTGGGGAAGGGGAGAATAGGGAA